ACCCCCCCCGGCCCAGGCGCAGAGCGGGATGGACGGAGCCAGAGCTGGTCCCAAGGTTGGCTGCTCGAGCCATGCCCAGCGAGCACCATGGCTCTCTCCTCCAGACATCCTCGCGCCTGTCACAGCCGCGTGATGCCCAGTGCGGCGATGACAGTGGCGGGCACCTTTGTCACGATGGAGCCAGGCAAAGGAGACGGCGATTCCTGGAACACACTGCAAATCCCCCGGCTGCTCCCGCTGTGCTCTGTGGGGGTCTCCAGGCTGGGACCTCCCAGGGCTGGCGGGGGCCAGGCACAGGGCTTTGCTGCTCCACCACCACGGCACGCTGGTGGCACGGGCTGCGGTGGCTCCAGTTGCAGTGATGCTCGCATGTGCTGACAGCTCCGCGCTGGGCACGGGGGATCGGGATCGTGCCACCGAGCAGTCCCGGGGCGGGAGGGCTGAGGGTCTCGTCCCCACGCCAGGATGGGCACACGGCGCTGCGGCAGAGGTCCCGCATGGGTGCGGGGCCATGGCCCCCATCCAGGGTGCGTGTGCCGAGGAGGGATCCTTGCGCGAGTCACGGTTCCTGCGCAAGGCTCTGACGGCCCTTTGGGGTGTAGCTACTGGGTGCAACACAACACCACCAACAGCGTGATCCTAACACTGGTGCTCGCAGTAAACCCTTCTGATGTGTGATCAAGCCTCCAGGATAAGATGTTTATTATTTGCCATGTGACCACGTGGCTGTTCTCCAACGTAAGGAAAGGCCAAATTGCACTTGTAATTCAAAGGGACCCAAAGCCTTAATGCTGTAAAGAAGCACGCTAATGATGCCCAGCGGGCGCGGGGCACGCAAGTGCGGCCCAAAGGTTGTTGATGGCCTTCCTATGAACCTCCTCAGTGTGTGACAGGTCCTTGCCTGTGGCCAGCAGAGATGTGATCAAGATGAGGGACGTCTGTGTGTTCATTACGCTGCCTACGCCTCCGCTGACACACTTTACATTTAAAATACTGTTTCCATTGAGCTGGAGCATAAAGCCTGAGCGTGTGGACTTGGGGAGCTCCATTAGCAAATGCAAATCGTGCGGTGCTTTGTCCTCTGCACAGAGAAGTCTTCGGAAGTCCTCGGTCCCCATCTGCCCCAGCTCTCGTTAACTGATAATGAAGGCTTTGCAATGCACATGTAGTTATTTGCTTATTTATTTAAACACACCACCTGTAGTGAAAGAAGCAATGTTCAGATCTCAAACTGATCAGGAAGTTGTGTCTGCTCCACACGCCAATGCAGAGCAGTAACTGGTGCACGCGGAGGGAGACGTGTGGCCGCGGTCCTGGCGCTGAGAGCAGGTAAACGAAGGTATTTTACAAAATAACCTGATACAAGGATTGTTGATAAGAAAGGCTGACCCACAAGCTAATTGAATCATGCAAATAATTGTTCAGCCACCAAAACACCACCTCGGGGCTTCCACAGCTGGCTGGAAAGGAAAGGCGACGGGCAGGCGGCTCCTCAAGCGCAGCCCAGCCCAGGCTCCAGCCCAGCGCGGGCCGGTGGTAGGGAGCACTAGCCCTCCTCCTGCCTAGCTACACTAACCCGAGTAGTAAGTAGTTATATTTATCAAAGACCATTTGCTGCAAGTGATTAACGTTAATTTGATTTCCTGTGAGTCAATTTCCTTGAGATATGGTAAATAGGCTATTACCTGTTATTGACCTTTACTTTATTTTAAAGATTTAAAATTAGCATTTATATATATACGTCCTTCCAAAAAAGTTTTTTTAATAAAGAAAAATATTTTTATAATCACATTATGCTTGCTTTCTGAGGCTGTAGTTCCA